AGAAGGGACTGTTGGATGGTATGTAGTGTGAGATGTGAGGAGACATGTGGGGAGAGAATAATTGTGTTGCTTTTCCTCCTGGGAGAGAGAACTGGATGAGAAAGTGCCTGGTAGGCAAAAAGACCACAGGATAAAAGAATTGGGAGACTCTAGATTCCCCAGATGTCATGAAGATATACATTTAAGATGCAAATGTTGGGATAAAGGGGAACAGAGACAGAACCACTGTTTACTTCCATTCTTGTGTGTGTGTGTGTGTGTGTGTGTGTGTGTGTGTGTGTGTGTATTAGACAGAGAGAGAGAGAGAGAGAGAGAGAGAGAGAGAGAGAGAGAGAGAGAGATCCAGCAAAGAGAAAAGGAAAGGAGGAGGTTCAAGATTCCGGAACCTGAAGGAACTGTCACAAAGGGACATAGCCCCTTCTCCAGATAGGAGACAGACAGGAGTTCAGAAGGATGAATGCTCTGGATGGTTAACAAAACTTCCTTTCAGTTAGTGCTGTCTTGCCCTGTTGCTAACTGGATGGATGCCCCTAACCACGGCTTACCATACACATCGGAGGTCATCCTTGGAGTTAGATGATTTTCTTAAGCCAGTGCCTGAGAAGATCCTCCCTAGACTGAAAATCTCTCCAAGTTTACTCTGAATTAACCAAGATGATGCTTCTTGATATCTAATTTGTTAATAATGCAGAGAAATTAACAGAAGACAATCTCTTCATGCACTAATAGACAGCCAGTCCATCCTGTGCCATCCTTAGGAAGTTATCAGCAATGCCCTTATCTTACAGGTCATGAAGTTGGACAACTGACTGCATGCGTGACTGAGCCCACTCAGACTGGAGGATGGCACCACAGGTATACTAGGTCTGAATAGCATAAGAAATCAACAAGGGGCAGAACTTTACTAGACATTTGCTTGAGTAGTGCTAAGTAAGACTTCCCCTTAGAGACAGCCGTAGTATGCAACTAGGGATCCCAAGTGAACAAACTGAGAGAAACCAATTAGAAGAGACTTTAAAAATGCATGATGGGTTCCAGCAGGCAATGAGGCCACCGAGGCTTATGGGGTACCAATGGACAAAAGGGGACCATCAGGGAGGGAGACAGGTCAAAAGGAGGTATTGAGCCGAGAGCTACGAAGGTGGAAATGTTGGTGAAGAGCTGGCAGGTGGGGTCTTAGGAATGAACTGTCCGACCATACAGAGCTTGCAGTGTGAAGAAACTTAAGTAGAGTCTTTATTGTTGCCGCATGGTGCAGACCATTGGGACAGGTTAGGTTAAAGTTTACTTTTGTTAGAACAGCAGGAAAGATAATGTTTAGAAAACTGGTGATAGATAGGCCAGCAGGGCAGGAAGGGTGGGTACACACAGTGACCAACTGTGTCCCATCACCCTCACACACTCAGGAGCCACCGTTTACATTCAAACAATAGTTAGACTAATTGCATGTCATTTGCAACTCTGTGCTGAAGGAGGCTTGATGGAAGATCATGGTTAGGTAATATTTAGTATTCTTAATTCACATTTCCCCCCTCACCTATGAGTAATAAGACTGAGTTTCATTTGCATCATTTTATAATTTAGCTAATTTCCTGATTCAGACATCACTCCCTCCCACTCTCTTTAAATTAGATTGCTTATCACTCACTAAGTTCCAGAAACAATGCCAACAAACTCCCCTGTAGGATGAAGGGCGTTTGTAGGAGGTGTTTTGCCTTTGTCTTGATTTTGGACAGAACTATGTATATTCTAATGAGTTGCGTATTTGAAAACTGGTAGGTTCTCAAAGCTCAGATAATTTCTCAATACTGGGACTTCTCAACCACAGGGAGGCGGATTGGATGTGACATCTAAGGTAGATGAAATTGGAAATTGAAGCACACCAAGGCTTTGACTGAAAACCTCCAGATTACAGCTGTGTGTCTACACACAGCTGCTGGGGGGGACAGAGATGCAGGTAGGTGGAAGGCAAGCCTGTGCTTGACTACCCTTCTGAGTTTTGTAGGAATCTGACACGCTTAGGACAATGCAGCAGGGCAAGACAGTGAGAGCAGATCTTAAAATAAGGGGCAAGTGGCAGGAGGGATAGAAATGGGATAAGAGGAAAGGTTCTAAGCTTGTCAAGAAAAAGCTAGAAAGACAGAAACAGGGATATTGTGTCTTCTGCCAACATAGCTTCGGGTCAGAGAAGAACATGAATGCTAAGTAGTCCCAGGGATGTGGGCTAAAAGGGTTGAGACAATGGGGGCTAGGATGGGATGGGTGTAATTTCCCAGGACTTATGCTGACACTGGAGCATACCTATTGACAGAATCTCAGGGCTCTAGTCATGGGAATCCATGACTGACTTTAGTTCCATTGGCTTTGAAATGAAGTAGGCATTGGGTGAATGTGTTCTTTCCCTTGGTGAGTATAGTTGGTAGAGACCATGTAGGATGAGGACGAACTGTGGGATGAATGGTGTTTCACCAGGTCCCCCCACTTCTTCCAAGATGAACCCATCATCCTGTTGCCCATTCCAATGAATGTTGAGGATTGGAGCAGCATGAGAATACTTTGTTCATGCTCTAACTGTTTATCAATGTGCCTAGCAAAGTGCTGGGTCCAGAAGAGAATGTGAAACCAATATAGAAGCTCAGAATCTGTAAGACACTTGTCTAACAAATACTACAGCAGGAGTCCAAGACAGCTGCCTGAAGCAGTAAGATGTGCGGTCCAAGAGCCCACGGAAGCTCAGGGGGTGGGGGACTTTCTGGAGGAAGCAACTCCTACTGAACCTTAAAGAACAGGCAGAATTTAGATAAGCCCAGATGAAGCTAGAAGCCAAGGGCTTCTGCTGAGAGGATGAAAATAACAAGAGTTGCTTTCTGGAGGTCACACAGCAAGGCTCTTGGCACAAAGTTGAACAAGTGCAATGTACGGCAACTGCTATTGATGGGATTTCTGCCTCTTAGACTGCTGTCACCATTTCTGTTTTATGTTCCTTTTACTGCTTTTTACAAAGGCAGTATGAATTAGAGGGACACACTGACGAAGCAGTAAATAGGGCACGTTTTAGGCATTTGACCTTAGAACTATGTGGTATAAAAGGAGCCAAGGCTAGCAAGGGTTTCAATCGCAGACAGGCTTGTGTATGCACAGTGTAACAGAACTGCTTGTGCTCAAAGGCAGCCACAGAGCAAAGTTCCACTAAGACTGAGGCTGGGTTGCCAAGGCTTCTCCCCTGATTTTTGTGTATCTGCAAATTTCTGCTTTAGTCAATTCGTGTATTTCTTTCAATGAAGCAGAGTATTGAACGCTCCTGGTTTTCAATGGACATAATTCCTCTCTGTTTCTCTTTGTGCACTGGCACCAGCTTAACTGCAGGAATGAAACAGAGGATGTAATTCTCCAGTGTCTTGTGACAAAGACATCGCTGGGACAGAGGGTGCTAACACTAGTGGAGAGCCAGGGCATGGGGATTTGTTTGCATGTTCGAAACATTCCCTCAGGTGGGATCCAAGATGGCAAATGAGCCTTCAGCAGAGAATGCTTACTGCCTGAGCCTTGGAATGATGGCATTATTGTTGATTGTTATCCCTTTGGGGAGGGCCAGTCTCTTCAGTATGCTTATTGTCATGTTTCATAAACATCAAAGGCAAGTGGGCAGGAGCCCTGCAGAGCCCATGCTTCCTCGGCACACAAAGCGGGCTGGTTCCAGAAAAGGCACTGTTCAAATTCTAGTCAGTGGTGATGAACTGGAGCTTCAGAGCACTGGTGTGTGTGTGTGTGTGTGTGTGTGTGTGTGTGTGTGTGTGTGTGTGTGTGGTCTAAGGGACTGGGTTCCCTCAAGCCAGACAGCAGTAATTCACAGCAGGACTCTGCCCTTGAAGAAGAGGCTGACTGACTCCCTGGACAGCTCCCAGCTGAAAATTTTATTCTAAAAGTTGGGAATGGGGAGTGAATCTGTAGAGTGGAGAGAGTGGATGTCATGGTAATCGTAAGCCCAACTGTAAAACCGTAATCATCTCAAGCACACCAGAGGATTATTAACAACAGCAGGAGCAACACAGCAAAGGCTGGGGTTTATTTGGAGAATTTTCCTTAGGACATGAAGGACTTAAGGTGACAACTAAGGGTCCGGCTGTGAGTCACATTCGGCAGGAGGGGTGTGAAACGGCCCCACCACCCAGTGTTTGCATGTGTGAAGCAGCAGGCTCATATTTTCTAGACACCTGATTTGTTTCTGTCCACTAGATCCTTTTATAAAACAGGACAGCACCAGCTCAATGACAGGGCTACCATCCTTTGATATTACGGAGGGGAAGCCCACCAAACTCAGGTTCTTTTGATTTATTCTAGGGAGCAACCTGTTGCAAATATCACCACCACCAACTCTTCAAAGAATTTGTTTCTCACTAATATTCACTGAGAAGACACGGCAAAGACAGAGTGGTCCTCCCTGCCTTCCGCTCTCTCTCTCCTGGTGTCAGCCACTGCCCCTAGGGATGTGGTTTCCCAGTCCTCTGATGTTCAAAAATACAAAACAAAACCCTAACAGCTAAATGAGTTTACATTGAGGGAAAATGTCTAGTTTTAGAAAATTTACTATTTTTGCTAGAGACAGACCCTTTACACACTACTCTAGGGTTAACCACAGTGCTCTCAGCCAGTGAAATTGAGAAGTGTTTCTGACGAGTTACACATTTTCACGGAAACAGCAAAAACATCTGCATTCTTAAGACGCCACAGTGCTGAGCTTTGAAAACTGTGAAGCTCTAATTATTTACACTCATCATGTTGGGGGATTCCCCCTTCCTTAATTAGAAAGAAAGAAAGAAAGAAAGAAAGAAAGAAAGAAAGAAAGAAAGAAAGAAAGAAAGAAAGAAAGAAAGAAAGAAAGAAAAGAGAAAAGAAAAAGAAGGAAAAGGAAGGGAAATGAAAACCATCCCTAGTAGCAGCTAACACTCCCAGTCCTCTCCAGTCCCACCTGGTCCGTCTTTTAAAGCCAGGACACTTACCTTGAAGGAGGAGTAGAAGGAGCGCCACTCCTCTGCCGCCAGCTCTTCAGTGAAAGTAACAATTTCAGTGCAAGCTACTGGGGAAGAGTCTGGTGTCGGCATAGTCTGGTTGGCATGTGAGCTGCCCTCTGTAAGGTTGGCTGGCATGGCTCAGGCAGGGTCGAGTCTCACGGCCCCTGCACCTGCAGCCGGGTGAGAGAGTCCAGTTGGCCTCCTGAGAGTCAGAGTATCTAGCTGCTGATCGATTGCTCAGTGCCTCTTCTGCCTCTCAAGGCTTCTGGCTATTGCTCACCGGAGCGGAGGCACAGAGCCCTCCCTGAGCCCACCTCATTGAAGAGTTCTGCCTGACAACAAGGGAGATCCACATGTGTGCTGCTCGCTCCTCTGCAGTTATGATCCAGCAGCCAGCACAGCCCTCACCCTCCCACAGACCTGCCCTGGGTGGCCTCATCCTAAGGGCATCCCCCAGGGCCCTGCTCGTGTCCCCCTAGGAAGGGCTTGCCTGTCCAGTGCTTTCCTGACTATGCAGTAGACCCTCATCTTTGCTCCAGCTTCCACTAAGCAGTAATTGGGATGTTTAGCTGTTCCATTAATTCAGGTCATGTTTGTACCTCTGAAATAGTCAGAGGTATGCATTTGTTTCAGCTGAGATTGCTCTCGGACTTAGAATTCTCACCCAGTCATTCAGTTGGCAATGTACACGTTGCTTCACTAAATGCAGGCAAACGGTACCCATGCTTCCACTGAGGTTTTCACAAGGCTGCATTCACTTGGAAGCGGGGGGTCTGTTTGTCTATAAGCTACAGTCTCTCATAATGTGATTAGGGGCTTCCTATGTGAACTCATCTCCCCCAGAGTACTCAGGGTAAGGACGGAAACGGGACAGTAGCAGAATCCTTGGTACCAGAGAGAGGACTAGGTAAGCAAACAAACACATCACTTCGATAACAAACTTACACAATTATGTATTCTTTCATTGGATTTCTAAAAAGGCTGTGGGGTAGGTAGGGAAGGCTTTTATGTTCTTATTTTGCCCCAGAATAAAACTAACACCAAGAGGAGAGATGATCTGCCCAACATCGTCCAGCTGGTGAAGGGTGAGCAACGGGCTGTATCTCCTGAATTTCTACATGGTGGTGATTTCCTGTAACACACACTGATGTGCATTCAGTCTCAGATACTCTCTAGGACGTGAGATTGACATATATAAGGTAGCAAGCCAGGCACAAACCCATCACCTGGTTCCTTCCACTCACAGCCAGTCTGTGAGCCATGCAGGCCAGCCATTGGTTTACTACCCTTGGTAACCACTGCCGTTTTTCCATCGTGAAATACCCTGGGAAAACTTTAGTGTGACTTATCTAGCACCATGCAGAGGTCAGTGCACTGGAGATGGGAAGACAACAAGACAGAGCTGGGTAAGTGTGCATTCTTAGAGGAAGGTCAAAAGTAAGCAAGGACTCAATGATAAAGCACTTCCATGTGCAAGAAGCCCAGCTGGCAAATGACCAGGGGAAGATGCTCAACCACATTGGCAGTCAAACAAAGAAGTTGAAGCAGAACTTTAACACACAAGCACAACGAAAACAAGAGACAGCAGTCCCAAAATGTTCTCAAGATTAAGGGAACTAAAGAAAGTATACGTTTTCATTCTGATGCAATGTAGTTGGCATGGTTACTTCAGAGAGAAGAATGTCAGGAGGTTGGAGTCACATGCTCCAATGCATGGTTCTGCTTACACAGTTATTTAAATGTGTTACTTTGGGAATGGTCATCACACTAACATTTTTAAAATGTGCATTTTCCTATGGGAATTTTTCACTTCACTAGTCTTTTTTTATTAAAAATAGATTTTTTTCCATATGATATATTCTGATTGTGGTTTCCCCTCCCCCAGCTCTTCCCAGTGTCTCCCTACTTCCCCACTCTTAAATACATACCCTTTCTTTCTCTCTCCTTCTCTTATTAGAAAACAATAGGCATCAAAGAAGAAAGAACAGCAACAAAGACACCAGAATGAGACAGAACGAAGGGGAAAAAAGAGGCAAAAAAAGCAAAAGAAACACATACAGACACAGAGACACACATTTGCACATACAGAAATCTCATGAAAATACAAAATTAAAAACCATAATTTGTAAACAAAAGACCTATAAAGTTAAAAAAATGCTCAGACAAAGCACTATGAATTATGAGACAAAAAAATAACCTCTGAAAATATCATTGAGTTCATTTTGTGTTGACCATCTACTTCTGGGTATGGGGCCTGCCCTCAAGTGTGGTTCGTATACCTAGTGAGATTCTGTCAGAGAAAATGAATTTTTCCTTTGGGGCCCATTGTTAGTTGGAGATGGCTTCTGTGTTAGGGATGAGGGCCTGTGTCTACTTTTCCTCTCAGCACTGGGACCCCATCCAACTTAGACCTCTACAGATCCCGTGCATGCTGCCAGCATCTCTCTGAGTTCATGTGTGCATCAGTCCTGTTGTATTCAAAACACCTTTGTCCCTTGGTGTCATCCCCACTGGCCCTTACAATCTTTCTGCCTCCCTGACCCCTGAGGGGAGAGATTTGATGGAGACATCCCACTTAGGACCAAGTGTTCTATGGTCTCTCATTCTCTACACATTGTCCAGCTGTCAGTCTCTGATTTGTTCCCATCTGCTACAGGAGGAAGCTTCTCTGAACTCTAAAGGTTGAGTTAGATACTGATCTATGGGCCAAGCAGAACATCATTAGGAGTCATTTTACTGCTGTGTTCCTTCAGCAGAATAGTAGTAGTTGTTTTTCCCCTAGGTCCATGGCTTATCTAGTCTCAGGTTCTTGGTCACCCAAGCAGTATCTGGGATGGGTTACATCTCGTAGGGTGGGCTTTAAATCCAGTTAGATAGTGGTTTGCTACTCCTACAACAACTCTAATGGCACAATTGTACCAGCTCATCTTGCAGGAAGGTAACAATTATAGATTGAAGGGTTTATTAGCTGGGTTGGTGTTTACTCTTCTCTTCTGGAAGTATCCAAAGAATTTTCCAGTACCATGAACCATATTCAGCAGGGAGAAGGCTATAAGTAGGCACCAGCTTGACTTCTGCATGTCCATTTAATTACGCAGTTGTTGTCAAAAGTATTTCTTTAAACATTTTGAAGAGATATGTCTGAGAGAAGGGAAAAACTGGTTAGGTCATGGAGTAATGGGAATAGTAGGAGAGAAAATAGCACTAGTCATGGACAGTAGGTAGATGGTGAGGGACTTTCCGGCATGATCAGGCAGACCATTGACTTTTGACTTCTCAATCAAGAAATACACTTGTACATGTATGCAAGTGGATATTTAAAAAGACCTTCTGTAACACTGTTAAACATATTGGCATTACTGTAAATAATGAGACATTTGAAGGTAGAAACTACCCACAGGCCTCTCAGCTGAGTGAATACATTTCTATGCAGTTATCCAATGAAATACTATATAGCAATGAGAATGATTGGCACTGTAGTTTAAATTCACAAGTACATTACAAAACAACGTTGTGGATGTGTTGTTTCATTTTTGTAAGGCATAGCTGCATGTACACAAACACATTATAACACTACGGCTTCAGGCTATGTGACAAACACGCTATAATGTTTGTCAGTTTCCCTGGGCTACTGGGTAGCTAGAGAGTGGTCAGGCATTTTTCTGGGTATGTGTGTAAGAGTGGTTAAGGATGAGATTAACATTTGAATTGGGAGGCTCAGTAAAACAGGTGTCTTCCCTGTGGACAGCCCTCAGTCACTCAGTTGAAGTCACCCACAAAGGACTGATTCCCTGAAAAAGAGGGAACTCTTGCCTTTGTGGAGAAGGGATGCTGCCCTTGTCTCCCCTTTGCAATTGAACTGGACTATGCTCACAAGCCAATTCGATTTCCAACATGGGTCTTGAGCCTCTTGGTTCTGCTTCTTTGGAGAATGTTGATTACAACATGTGGCTTTTAGATCCTCACCTGACCTCCTCCCAAGATCCCACAGAAAATTAGGGACACAGACAAAATGCAGAGCATAGGTTAAAAATCATAAGTCAATTGCTAAAAGGGATTATGTGATAATTGTGAAAATTCTGCGTGTTGGTCCAGCTCAGGGGCTATCATATTCCTTATTTGATACTGATGGGAATGAAATTTTGTCCACACCCTCTGGAAATCAGAAGAGAAGTTCCTCAGAACCAAGACCAACCAGAAGCCCCACATGATCCAGCTTTGCCACTCTGGGTATGTACTCAGAATAAGCACAACTATTGTACTACAGAGGTGCCTGCACACACGTGTTTGACATTGCGATGTTCACACTGGCAAGTCACAAAGTCAGTCTGAATGTTCATTGCCGGCTGAATGGATAAAGTATGCTACAGCTGCACAATGGAGCTTAATGCAACCACAACGAAGAATAAAATGGTGTCATGTACAGAAAAAAAATGGATGGAACTGGAGCTCATCCTGATCAGTGAGCTAAGCCATACCCAGAAAGACAAGCATTCTCTCTTCTGTAGAATTTAGGTGTGGGGAGCACATGCAAGCAATGGGTGTGGGGACACAAAAGGGGAAAGCAGAGAGAGGCACAAGAAAGCATAACTGGGATGAACGTGATCAAAGCACATTATATGCATTCATTGATCTGTCATGATAAAACTCATTACTGTGTGCACTAAATGCATGTTCATTCAGGAGCTAGCACGCTCTACTAGGGACAGCACGTGGAGAGAACACTTTAGAAAATGGCTTGGCAGCATTATCTAAAGCTGAGCATATGTACACTCTATGACCCAGCAGTTTTCATGCTAGGAAAATGCCCAGCACAAATGAGCACATATGTCAGCCAAAGAATATAACAACGAATCCAGCAGTTCTGTTGATAATTGCTCATAACTAGAAAGAACTTAATTACCCAAGAACAGCAAAGTGCTAAACAAAGTGGAGTATATTTGCACAATCAAAAGCACACCATAATGAAAATGAATTATTTTGGGCACTGAGATATCCTCTCCCCTGATTAGGGTGATAGTTGCATGTGGATATTCTACCTGTGAAAATAGAGATTCACACACTTACAGTTTCTGCATATATGTTAGCCAAGCTTACACACCAGAAGCTGTGGGAGAATCCTGGAGGGAGTCATTCAGAGGCCGACTGGAACTCTGTTTGATAGGGCAGATGTCAGAGTGGGAAAGGGCTACCCAGAGCAGGCAAAGGATTAACGAGAGCAAGTGATATGCAGAGAGTGATTTCTGGCTCAACCCTGTTCACACTATATTCATACTTGATTCTATACATACTGTATTGCCCAGGGGGTGAGCCTAAGGTTATAAAACAGCAGAAAAATAACAGCAGCAACCCAAGCCAGGCCTGAGGGTAGCAGGTGAGTGTACAGTGGCAATGTGTGAGCTCAACACACAAATGGGAAACCTGGCATCTAGGA